TCCGAAGCTTGTGGATTTCTTCACTCTCAAAAGGCGACTGACTCGCCACGGTGTTTTGCATGGCGAGTGTGGAACGACCGCGTTTGTTTATATTGAGTTTCGATATCCGATTTGTCAGGGCAATGTTTTGGTTCGTGACAAGGTCGCTTAGACACGTAAGAGCTTTCATAGAAATTATGAACTGATACATGAATGACTAGAGTTAAGATTCGTACGGTTCCTTGCTGTGGTGGCTGAGAGCAGACATACGACCGGAACGGTAAAAAAGCTTTGGTGGCTGAGAGTAGATAAACAACCGCAAAGGGTTGTTTGTTTTTGTAAATAAAAATGTTATAATTATTGAAAAACAACACCTAAAGTGTATTATGATTTAAATAACGTGCAGTTTGCCCACAAACGTGCGGTCCCTGGCGTATGTCTTAAGAGATTTCTATGCGGTATGCAATGTGTTAAGTACCCCTGACTGGCTGTTCTGATGTGAACATACCAAGCTAAGTAATGTCATCAGTAATAACTCAGATTAAGAACAGGGAGACAGGAAGATGGAGTTAGAGATACAGTGTAGATGTTAGGGACACAGACTCTAGAGCAGGGGTGGGCAAACTTTTTGACTCGAGGGCCACAATGGGTTCTTAAACTGGACCGGAGGGCCGGAACAAAAGCATGGATGGAGGTTTTGTGTGAACAAATATAAATTCAAAGTAAACATCATTACATAAAAGGGTATGGTCTTTATTTTATTTTATTTTTTTTTTAGTTTTATTCATTTCAAACGGGCTGTAGTTTGCCCACGGCTGCTCTAGAGCCAGGCTACCTGGGTGCACCCTTGGTCTGCTACTTATACCTGTGACCTTAAGTGCGATATAGTACCTTTTATGGTAGGATTGTCATGTGGATGACATGAGTGAATATGTGTAAAACACAACAGGGCTAACACACATTAACCCTATCCTCCTATATAATACAAGGCTAATATACCAGTAGACTGAATGGCAGAACCACCAAACAACTGGTTGCTATGATGTGTTCTGACCACCAGGGGGCGTGTGCAGAACATGGCAGGCGTGGGCTGAGGTGGGATGGTGGAACAGTTGAGCAGGGGCGCCAGACCCTGTCATTGGGGCAAGACTCTGGTTGTTACTGAAAATTCTTTGCTCCCGTGCACCGCAGTCCCACCAAGCGCTCGCACCTGCTGCCAGTGCTGGCCCCACTTGCATCCGCTACCAGTGCCCGGTACCATCAGTGGGTGCTGCTGGCCCCGATAGCTCCTGAGGGCTTCTCCACCTCCCCCTGCTCCTGAGGGGTGATTGGGGCTCGCACCCACAGCTGGCGTCGGCCCCAATCACTCCATGCCATCAGTGCATGGGAGCAGTGGCGGAGCCAGCAGACGGGACCAGGGGCCGCGGCGGGAGGGGCCGGGCCAAGACCTGCCCCTGTGTCTACCACAGCCTCGCGGCCCAGAGTTCCAAGGTGCATGAATTTGTGCACTGGGGCCCTAGTATGTTATAAAGCAGTGATGGCGAACCTATGACACACGTGTCAGAGGTGACACGCAAACTCATTTTTTTGGTTGATTTTTCTTTGTTAAATGGCATTTAAATATATAAAATAAATGTCAAAAATGTAAGTCTTTGTTTTACTATGGTTGCAAATATAAAAAAATTTCTATATGTGACACGGCACCAGAGTTAAGTTAGGGTTTTTCAAAATGCTGACACCCCGAGCTCAAAAGGTCGCCATCACTGTTATAAAACATGAAAAACACTTTAGATCTTTTAAAACAAATTTGATTTCCAAATGGAAGCGGCACTGACATACACAGAAATTGATAGATAGTGGACGGCAGATTGTGTTTTCTGGGACATTACCTTTGTACACTCTCTTGATGAACAGGGGCCCATCCCCAGACATGGACGATTTTCCTCCATCCAGGCTCAATCCCAGCCCAGCCGAGGTCTTCAGTACTTCAACGCACAGAGCGTCCTGTGCAGCTCCTCTTCTCCCTACAGTGAAGATGGAGACAATAGGGACACTCACTACCTCCTGTCGTGTCCCGTTTACCTTAAAGTGCTGATGACAACATTTGACACCAGTGTTAGGGTTGGTCTCCCCTCCTGGCTGTGTTCCTGCAGTTCCTGCACCTCTGCTCTTCTAATCAACCGTCTGCAAGCGTGGAGCATGCCTTTATGCCCAAGCAGAAATCTCCAGAGGCCCCCGTGTCGGAGCACGTCTCCGTGAAGACTGAAGTCCCACTTGGGACCCAGCCTGTGCTTCAGAAGCAGTGCCCATTCTGAGTCAGTGCTTAGTGTGGCTTACTGTGGAGCCTGGGACGACAGTGCAGCGACTGTCTTTAACACCCTCCTTTCTGGATGTTCCCAGACAAAACTCAGCCTGGAGCTTCTCTCACCTTTCAGTCTCCCTGAACAAGGGTTTCTTGTTTTACTTACCAAGCACTTAAGCCCTAATAGGATGGAAATTCAAAAGGGCTTCCTTAGGACATTGAGAAGCTGTCAAATGGTCATTTACGTCTTCAATAGTATGGCTTTAACTACTGGGTCGTTTTTAAATAAGTTTTTTGTAACACAGCTTTTGCTAGAAGCATCCACAAACACTAGACTTCACTACATTTAATTTCTCTGACCCAACTAATAAGGTAATGGCCGTTATTTTCCTTTGTGTTCAGCCTGAGTCTATGCTGCTCACACCCTGCTGGCTGGTGAGGGGGTGTCTTACCCATTCCCATTCCAGGCTCCAAGGAGATGGTCTCTCTGGACAGCGAGCCCTTCCCGTTGGCTGTGTGTGGCTCCTGCCGGGTGGAGGGCCTGGGCTGGTCATTTCCTTTCTTGATGACCACAAGGACATCTTTGTGCAGCTGTGCCTGGTGCAGGACCTTCAGGACATCCCCATGGGCCAAGCCAGCCAGTGAGGCACCATTGACTGACAGGAGGAAATCCCCTCGGTTCATAGTCCCTTCTTGAGAAGCTGCCCCCTGAGAAAATACCCTGTGGACCTGGGACAAGGACAGGACAAGCCAAAGTCATTTGTGACCTCCAGTAAAAGCCAAGGGTCTGCAGTAAAGGAACCTTCTAATGGCAAATTTCCCAAGTCATGCAAACACTTGGTGTATATCAAAAACACATCAGTGTGAGGGGTGGAATGACAAACGTCAGTGCCCAGCATCATGTCTGATAAGTGCCGAACACTCAAGGGGGCAGTAACACTACAAAGAGGAACAGGACCTGACCTTGTCCAGGAAAGGTGGCATCTCCCTAATGATCTCACAGGCTTGAGTGATGCAAAACTTAAAGGTGGTGGTTCTTAAGTAATTTCATAAGCAAAAGCGGGTATGGCCAGTTAATTCTAATGCCTTTCTGAATAAACAAAGTATTTAGGTGAATTCGAGGCTATACATAATTGTGTTTATGTGTACTGGCACCTAACAGGTCACTTCGCCTGTTTATCAGTCAGCTATGTGTGAAAAGGCTTATCTTTGTCGATGAAAATATTATGTACTGCTTTTCCTCCTTTTGTTCAGGTGGCCGTGAACCAACTCCAGCATCCTGTGAACGTACTGATGGGAGTTTTGTCCTCAAATTCAGAACTGCTTCAGCATGACTTCCCCGAGAGCGTCTCCACATCCTCACTCACCACAATTGTATTTGGCTCCTCATCCGTCCCTCCTGCCACACTGAATCCCAGACCCGAGCCTTCTTTTTTGGTCAAGACTATAAAGCAGACATCTTCTTTATTCTATTGAGAAGAAACAGAAGGAAAAAGTATATTCCCTGTGCCAAGACTAACAGGTGAGTACTGACACAAAGCCTCCTAGAGCTGCAGTTTATCCCCAGGAAACCCAGTGGTTCCTCAGGAGCTTTCACATGGTTTCAACTAGAGGAGCCACGACTCCACTGTGCTGCGCTTCTGGGTGGTGCCTTTACAGGTTTTCGAGGGTCCAGCCTGTAGCTACAAAACCATGGGAAGGAAGGCATGAATGGGACACCTGAGAAGCCAGTCTAGCCACCAAATGGTGTCCTCCCAAATTTGATCATGAAGGGAATTCCTTATTCTACAGTTATGTCTATAGTTCAGCAGCAAAGGGAGAGGTGTAGGTGCCAAGAGCCAGGTAAAAGCACGCTGAGGCTACGTGTTCTATGCCCTCCACCTCCCGTGCTCAGTTCACTGGATTCCACGTGCAGTCAGTGAACCAGTATCCATAAAATACAAAGTATGTTTAAAGGTATAAAGTATGTCACAATATTAGAGTACATTAGAGATGTCAACTCCTGTATTAGACATTCTTAGTAGTGTTCTAAGGTTAAGAACAAAAGACCGCCCATGTTTCAAGCACTGATCTAAAGATACCTTGATAAGAGATTTTAAAATAAAAATGAGCTGGGCTAATTATACTGAATTTTGAGTTCTTCCACCCACATGCTAGAGATGACTCACAACATTTTAAAGATCTGCTGGGTTTCCCATCAAGTGATATATAATCCATCAATTTCAGGTGCTCTCAAACAGCAATAGAGGAAGAATTTAATAACCTTTAAGGATTGCTTTGACAAGAGAAAGTGAAAACGTTGGAAGAGAAAACCACCTCTGTATTGTGCTGGAAAAGGAGCCCAATATTTGAAAAGTGTTGGTTCTATTAGTTAAGTCCTAAGACCTAATCTTAGTCATTTTACATTTCTCTAAAGTTCATTCAAACCAAGGCTCCATATGCTAACAACACAATGTCCTGCAGAACTTTTTGGGCGTTGGGATTTCCACGTTATGGGCAAATTCGACCATATGTGTGCTCAGGCACCATTCAATGGAGAGAATGCTAGCTTAACAAAAAAGGGAGGTGTGGCCTGCAGATGAGCTCCATGCAGTTGCTCAGAGGTAACGTCTGATGCTGAAATAGGGCTACTTCTATTTAAATGTATTATTGGAGCAAAGAGACAATACTTGAAAATGGGACTCTCCTGTGTCCCGGGACACATTATCACCAAAGCTTTAATTTATTCAAATTATTTATAGCATCCTGAAGGGTGATCGACCGTTAGGCCGGATTTTGCTTATGAGAAGCTCAGTACAGCATCAGGAAAGCTAGAATCACCATCAGGGGCTCCCCAAGGTTTAGCTCTCCAGAAACCAGAAGACCAGGGCTTGTTTTTTGACTCTAGTCTCTCACAGCGCCCTCAGAAGCCAAAGAAACTGTTTTGAACAGTTCCATTTTCAGCACCTACACACCATACTCATTGAGAAAAAGCAAGGCAGGAAACTTCTGGTCTAAAGATGGCAGAGTGAGGACGTCTGTACTTGCCCGGAACCAACTGAAGACAGCTGCATGTTGAAGAAAACAAGCATGATCTTCAACACCACGCACAACACCTGCCTGCCTGGTGGTGAATAGGAAGGTGAGGGAGGCCCCACATGACTCCAGGTGGCGCTCGGCACCCTGTGCACACACACAGTCTACCCTGGGGTCCCTCCCTTTTGTGAGGTTGGTTGAGACCATTTTATCTAACATGAGTACAGGTGGCCCCTGGCACAGTGTGATCAGACCTTGACTGGAAATCACCAAGTGAGTCCACGTGCAAAATGCTTGCTTACTGCAACAAGTGGAAGGAGGGAGGAGACAATAGATTAGTCCCTTTTACTGAAGTGAAAAATGCTAGATGCCTCACGGTGTTTCCTGGCTGCACAGACCCAGACCAATGGGCGGAGAACCAGGAGAGGCCGCTAATGGCCACTGGTCTCATCCCACCCACCTCCTCTTCCTCTGGCTCACTCCTCATGGGAGGCCAGCGTCACAGCCCTTCTAGTGTTAGAATTCTGGATGATACCAGTGACCCAGGTACTCAAGGAAAATTGCTTATACTTGCTTTTTTCTCTAAGTAGAAAATTTTCATTTCTTAGGGTTTGAATCTCTGTGGCTAGTCCAGAGAAGCATTCTAGATAGGAACACCTGGTTTCAATTGTTACTGTTACCATCACATCCAATTTCTTATGACTATTTAGCTTCTTTGTCTGGAACCCCAGGCTTCAGAAACTCTTACACTTGGAGCCAGGGCAAGGCCACACAGGCATTAACTCATCTCCCCAGCAGGTGGCGCCCTTGACAGGTAGTTTATGTCCACCTAGGTGGACAAAGGTGCTTGTGCTCATTCTCCACCACAAGTACCTTTGAGGACTCTGCAGACAAACTCCAAATGCAGGGTGGGGTGGGGCGGTCAGTAACTAGTCCCCACTGGGAAATTAAATGAGCAACTGCACCAATCTGGCACCTAAAAACACAAGACAAGGTTTAGCTTCTAAAGCAGTCTGCAAGCAAGTGAGATTGGGCTGTGAGCTCACAACAGGAGACCTGGAGAAGGGCTCGCGGACCTCTGAGTGCATGGCCGTACCTGGGCACTGACGTGGCAGCAGTTCTGTGTTCCCTGCATTGCACTCACCTCTGATTGTGCTTTCGCTTCCTGCATGAGAGTCAGGATGGTAGATTTTGACCTCGCCGATGACAAAACAGACTGTAGTCTTTGCTGGTCCCCCGCTGAGACTAGAAGTTGATCCAAACTAAATAATATAAATACATTAGGAGAACATTAAAGAAAAAACAATTTATTTTGTAACGACGCATTAAAAATGATCTCCTTTAGATTGTATTGTAGGTATTTTCAGTGGAAATAACTATGGATTCAGGGATTCCCCAAGGTGTTAGGGGACCAATGTGGTAAACCAAAGTTGTTATATTAAAAGATATACAATGTATAGGCTCAAATGAAATGTTTTAAGATGTTATTGATTTCCTGTTTAATTGCAGTCACCTTCACAGGTCCCAATTCTTCCCTGAGGTGCAGCCCTGTCCACCACCACCTCTGAGCAGTTCCCTAGTGAGAGGCCTCTCCTGAGCACAACATTAGGACAAACACGTCCCCCTGCAGGCACCATGTCTCTGTAATGGTATTGAAAACAAGGGGCTAATTGTGATGTTGCTATGCTGGGCTGGATGCTGGAGCAAAAGAGGACATTTGGGGGATTTATGCAGTGACGTCTGAATCAAGTCTGTAGTAATTGTGTTCCAGTATTAGCTTATTTTGATTAATGGATAGTGGTAGTATATGATGCTAACATTAGGAAGAGCTGGGTGAGTGGTGCATGGAAACTGCATTATCTTTGAAACATTTCTATCTTAAAACTACTGCATAATAGTAATTTAAAAAAGGACAGATACTTACTTAACTGACCAGCTTTTTCCAGAGGGCAGATCCCGGGTGGTTTCACTCATATTGGCTGAACTGGGTGCCTCAGGCTCACTGGCTTTAGGCCTGCTTCCACCTGGACAGGCCCCGTCTGCCCCCTGCACAGGACACAAAAGGGCAGTGGCCCCATTGAAGCCTCCGGCAGGGGAGCCAAGGGACCTCCTGGGCACGATCTCCAGCTCTGTCTTAAAGAGCACAGCCGTGGGCCCTGCGGGGAAGTCCTCACTGCAGAGCTTGTCGAGGTCGGGCATGCTCAAGGCCCTCAGCTCCTGGAGCTTGGAGCGGGATACCGGCGAGGGCTGGGTGTGGCGCACTGAGGACTTGTTCTTCTTGATGGGAGAGGCCGGGGTCACCATTGGGGTGGGGATTCCGGAAGGACCAAGCGATTGCTTTGGGTGGGAATCAGGGCCCTTGTTCCTTGCCTCCACCGGGTGATGCCGGGGGACGGTCAGTGTCATGCTGGACGGGGACTTGGTCATCTGGGGGATGAGGGTGCTGGCTTCGCCCTGGCTTTCGCTGCAGGAACTCAGGCTGCGTCGCAGTGACCTCGCTGCCAGGTCACTGGGATGGCTGAGGCTCCCTGAAACTACACTGCCAGACGACCGTCTCCCAATGGGAGGCTTGGAGCTCACAGACAAAAAAGCGGAAGCCCCAGACTTGGCCAGGGACCGGTCCGAGTTGGCCAGGTTCTCAAAGGACTTGATCCTCTGCTTCACCGAGAAGAATGAGGTAGATTCGTGGGGCCAGTGCTGCTCCAAGTAGTAGTGTCTTCTGGTGACTCGGATTCTGTCGGTGATGAGGCAGCTTGTGTCCTGCACTGAAAGGACGTCCCCTTCGTCGGTGGTTGGGAGGGCCCGCGACGTCTCCAGCAGGGGCTTCACACTGTAGACGCCCGGTCCGTTAGCCAGGCCGAGACCTCCGCTTCTGCACCCCTTGGCCTCCGGGCCGCTTGTCCCGGGGATCTGGCTGTCCCGGTGGGAGCGCCCTGGGCTGTGCAGGGAAGGCCCTTCCCGTCCAAAATGGCTTGAGAACTGGGCCGGCATGGAGTAGGTCCTGGTTGCCGGCCTTGGCGTGAAATAGGGATGCTCATCCATAGGGGCCGCCACTGTGCTGTTCTTGGGCGTCTCCGGGCAGGCTGGCCCCTGGCTCGACTTCCCCGGGGAGGAGGCGGCCAGCTTTGCCACGCTGAGGGAACGCTGCATTTCCGGCTCCACCGGGGAGGCGCGGGACGCCAGTGCAGGTGCGTGGTTTGGGGACGATTCCACTGGCTGGTGGCAGAGTCTGAGTTCACTCTTCTGACCGTTGCTCGGGGTCACGAACCCTCCCTGCCTACCCCTTTCCGCTGGCATGTCACCACATGCAGTCTTTGGCATTCTTTCAGAAGAAATTTCAACTATTTTCAGCTGGTTGGTTCTTTCTGGGGGATCATTAGCAATTGTGTTGCTTCCTTTGTCACCACCAGTCACCCCAGGTTGGGCTGCTTCTGGTACTGAATACGCGAGCTGCTGGCCCTGCTGGGGAGGTGGGGGTTCCCGCCGGTCCACTGCTGTGGACGTGCTGCTCCTCGAGGCGGCGGGACCTGTCCCCGAGGCCGCCTTGCTCTCTGGTCCACACTTAGGTCTGGGGGCGGCCGGGCTGCCTCTGTCGGGTCCGGAGTGCACAGATACGTGGAACCTGATGCCTGCACCTTGCTCAGGAAGAGCCCTGGGGGAGGTGAGGGGCGAAGCGAGTGGTCTGATGCTCGTGTCGGAGGCTGACAGCCTCAGTGACCCCGAGGCTGCAGGGGATGGCTTGCTCTCCGGCGCACACTGGGTAGACCTGGCGGTGGCTGTGGCATTTTTGCCGGGTTCCTCGTGGTCAGCTCCATGGGACCGGTGTGACGTGACCTTGGAGAGCATTTTGTGGGAGGCCTGGGGTGAGACCAGGGACCTCCTGGGGTCCGTCCCTCCGGCCTTAGGCGTGTTAGCTGCAGGGCCCTCGGCGCTGCCTTTGCTTTTGCTCTTGCTGCTCAGCCTCTTGAGCTTAGCACCGGACTTGGGTTTCTGACTGTTACTTACCAGGGTCTCCACGGAGCTTTTTTTAGGTGGGTCTTTATTTTCAAGATTCAGTTTCAGCGGAGGAGGGCTATTCGGCACAGCAACCCCCTTTCTGTGGCTTGTGCTCAGCACCTGACTTCTGGAGTCAGGACTGGTGGCTGGCATGGCGGGTTGCCCCTTGTCAGTCCTGCTCTGCAAATGAGCACCTTGGTTGCTTTTATTGATCTCTTTAAACCAGGCCATGATGGGCCTCCTGGAGACCAGTTTTGGTTTCTGTAGCGGGTCCTCCAGGTCTTGCCTTTTGGAGCTGTGCAGGTTTGCCAGGGCACATTCCCCGTTCTCAGGGGCACCCGCACTTTCGGTTGCGTTCACACTTGTTTCTTGTTTTTCATCTGTGGTTTCACCATCCAAGTCGTGTCCCAAACCATTCACCATGTTGGGAGAGCTGAGGGCGACCGGGGCGCTGTGAAGATGCCTGGCGGCTGCGGAGGGCTGGTGGTTTTCCACAGCCGAGCCAGTGCTGGGGGCCCCCTGGTGCTGTGGAATCTGTGGGTCCACAGGAGATTCACGCCCCTGAGCACTTCTGCCCCCGAGGGGAGATGGCTGGGCAGAGCTCGGGGTTGGAGGGCACGAGGCTCCCGGCATGAAGTAGGCTCTCTCGCGTGGACTTCCCACGGCCTCACCCAGAGCGCTGTGTCGCCGGGGCAGGCCTCGGGCTGGCACATGGCAGGGCGCCTCCTGGGCAGGCATGGGCCCCGCCATCGAGGTTGGGGTGGGGAAACCCCCTGTGGAATAGATTTCAATTTGCTCCTCCTCCGATTCCGTAGTGTCTTCCCTGTGAGAAGACCCACGAGAACGAGTAGGTGACCGGGTGTCCCTGGTGCAAGCCCGCAGGGCATCAGGGAGCGACTCGGGGTCAGAGGATGAGTCCTCGGCGTCCCCGTACATGGAAGAGAGAGACAGCTCCATGCTGTCAGCAGGGCCTGACAGGGATGCGCTGTCCTCGTGAAAACTGCTGAGATTTCTAGAATAGTTGCTCAGAAAGTTTTTGTTCACAGTAAAATGTTTGTCAGGATTAACTGAATCCAAAACAGAAGGCTGGGAGGTCCAGGGTGGGTGAGGGGGTTGGCACGCCGCCCAGGCCCTCTTGGGGGTGGGGGCCTGGTTCCCGGTGGCTGGCTCAGCTCGGCGGGCGCTTCCTCCTGCAGCTCCTGTGGGCAGCTGACCCTGAGCACTGCCCTCCGGCCTCACTCGGTGCCCTCTGTCCGGAGACGGAAGTCTTCCTTCCGAGGCATCCTGCTCCTCGAGGCATCTGTCCACATTGGTCACAGGGCAGCGGTGCTCCGAGGCACCACCACATCCCCCTCTGGCCCGGTCAGTGGGTGACGTCCAGGAGTGGCTGGCGTGCGGTGCCCTCCCAGGCTCCGAGTCCGTTCCCTCAAGCCCAGCAGACTCCCGGGAGGGTGCAGGCACGAGGGTCCCTGCCAGAGTTTGGCTGTGGTCGCCTGCAATTCCTCGTGTGTCCTGGCCTGTGAGGAGAGCTGGTGACAGGACAGTGCTGGCTGCAGCCGCTTCCTCTGCCCCAGGCCCTGCTCCCCCAGGGGCAGCTGCCTTGCTGGTGGTGTCGGGCCCGCCGGTGTCCAGGGGATGAGACCCTGCTGTCTTCCCTGGGGAGGTGCTGTGGACCCGGGCAGGGCTGCCCTGACATCTGTCCTCAGACTTGGGGGCCCTGGGCGGCACTCGCTCTCTGGGGTCCTCAGGCCGCCTCCCATGCCCTGCATCCATGGAGGTCTTGCTGGGGTCCGGGTGAGCAGCCCCCTTTTGCCCTGGGGAAGGGACAAGGTCTGGGGAGCCATCCAGTCCTGTGTCAAGAAGGTAAACAGAAGGTGGAGTGGGAGGGGAGAAGAAAAAGGGGAAATGTGAGAAGAAAAATAAAGTAAAATATGGAAAACTGTAAGCAGTCTGTCTTTTTGGTCTTTTCAGAAAGACATTTCACAGGCAGGCAGTCCTTGTGTTCACCACGTGTCTCATGTACTCTAAGGCACACGCCACAAATGGGTGAGGGGTGTTGCCTGGACGGAGAGGCACACTGCCGTGGCGTGAGACGCAGGCAGCTTTTACGTATGGTGAACCTGTGTAAGGGTTTCCCCACCTGTTCAAATTCTTCACATGTAATGATTTTTAGGGGAACTTCTACCCTCCCCTGTAGAAGCAGAGCGAATGGTAAACTAATCTTACCCGTCCCGGGGTATTGCCCCTGGTCTGGTCCAGCTTCGGGCAGGCTCTCTGGGAGGCGGCCAGCTCCTGGGTGGGGCCCATGCCCAATGGTCAGCTTCCCCGGAGAGTCCTGGCACAATGACAACAGCAAGTCACTGTCAATAGCTCTCCAAGATGTCATACCCAGAGGAGAGCTGGTTTGGGAAAATTCAGAAATCCCAGACTAGGGGCCGCAGAACGGGACTAGAAACTGCGTGGTCTGGTCACTCTTCCCAAGCCTCTGCTTTTTCAGCTTTCCACTGTGGGTGATCAGGGACGCACAAATCAAAACCACAATGGGATGCCACCTCGTACTCATTAGGATGGCTATCAAAGAAACAGAGCCCTGGCTGGGTAGCTCCGTTGGTTAGAGCCTTGTCCGGATATGCAGGTTCAGTCCCCGGTTAGGGCACATACAAGAATCAACCAATGAATGCATAAATGAGTGGAACAACAAATCGATATTTCTCCCTCTCTCTCCCTTTCTCCTTTCCTTTCCCCTCCCCTTCCCTCTCTTCCTCCCCCCACCCTCGTTTTAAAAGAACAAACAAAACCAACCAAACCAGAAATAACAAGTGTTGGTCAGGAGATGAAATTAGGACCTTGTGCACTTGTTGGTAGGAATGTAAATTGGTGCAGCCACTTTGAAGAGTGTGAAGGTTCCTTAAAAAAACTACAATAGAACAATCATGATCCCGCAATCCCACTTCTGGGTATATTCCCAAAATTTGAAAGCAGGGACTTGAAGAGATATTAGTACACCTATGTTCATGGAAGTATTATTCACAGTAGCTAAAATATGGAAGCAATGCAAGTGTCCACTGATAGAATTAAGAAACATGTGGTCTACACGTACAATGGAGTATTAGTCTCAAAAAAAGAAAAGGAATTCTGACATGCTACAACATGGATGAGCTTTGAGGACATCATGCTAAAGTGAAATAAACCAGTCACAAAAAGAACTCTATGATTCTACTTACATGAGGTAGGAAAGGGAGTTAAAATCCTAGAGACAAAGTAACGTGGTTTCCAGGGGCTAGTGTGCGGGGACCGGGGAGTTACTGTGTAATGGGCATAGTTCCCATTTTACAAGATGAAGGGTTCTGGAGATGGATGGTGGTGATGGTTTAATAACATTATGACTATAATTACCACTGAACTTTACACTTAAAAATGGTTAACATGAAACTATATTATATATATTTTACCACAATTTTAAAAATTGAGGGGAAAAAAGGGGCAGGGGGATGAGAAGACTTGCCCTAACTCAGGATTTTAAATAAAAGGCAATATTAAGTTATAAAAACAACATGCATCCCTACAAAAGGCTATAGATGGAAGGAATTATCGACATTATATCGCATATCGATACCCAAGCCTCTCAACTCAGCTCCTCAGTGTGGTAGTTAGGGAGAGAACTCATCTGGATAAATGACATGGGCATTTAATATTTCAGAATTTCACTTTAGCTTCCTTCCTTCCATCTAGTATCTACTGTAGAAAAATTTTGAAACTAACTTTCTAAAAAGTCAAATCAGATTTACTTTAAATGTACCCTCTGGGATAGAGTCAGAGAGTGGCCCAAAGGTGGCAGCAGAGGAGAGGGGTGAACCGACAGAGGGCTCTCAGCTGCTCTTGTGACATGTCCATCACCTTCTGCGGAACCCACCGGTCAGGCGTGGCTGCAGTGCAGGATGGCAGAGGGTCCTGGCCTAGACGGGTGGCTGGGTAGCACTCTGCCCCAGTGCCACTGGGTTGTACGCTTTGCAATGGTTACTTTAGGTTATGCGAATCTCCTCTCAATTTAAAAGGCATTAAAAATGGAAGACAACCCACTGACCAAAAGAGAAAGATATCTTTTCCTAGCTTCCAGTATTTGGAAGTAAATACTGTATGGCAATGCATTCTATTTCCTTTCTCACGTATAAATAAAATCAAATTTTGGAACTTTGGTGCACAAGTTTTAAATGCCATTCAAAGTTCGTATTGGGAATACGAATCCACAGTGGCAAAGGCCCTTATTATTATAGATATAAATCGTTATGAATAAAAATGCCAATTTGGCTTTATATAGTTATCTGGAACTTGTCAGTGGTACTTTTTAAAAGGAAAGTATCATTTACCCATTAGCTGAACATTACATTTTTAAACACATGTTCTAGTTGGAGGGAGTAATTGTTTAGGAGGGAAAAAATGTGCATTTCCACTCTTTCTGTAGGGTTTGGAAAACCCCTTCTGTTGAGTATAGTTTTTATGACTTTGTATTTTCTCGTCTATTTACACGTATGCTATATAAACCACTTGAATACACATCTTTATAAATATGGCCTTCCAAGTCACCTCAGCTCTGCTCAGACAGAAACCATATAGTTGAGGAGATCTTCAGTAAAATTTTTTCTCTTACTCTCTCCTTGCTAAAGGGAAGGTATTCTGAAATTTTTAAAAATGAGCAATTTGGTTATTTTGGGTCATTCTGACCGAGGTGTAACCAAGTAATAACATAATATTAACTTGCATTTCATGTGGTGGCACAATACTTTTCTTTCATGTGACACAAGGCTACGAGTAGCTTTAATGACACATAATCACTGTAGAAAGTTAAATAAGATAGGGACCATTCAGGAGTTAATCACTGTTGCCCTATGTTTGGTTACCCCAACTCTGTGAGTGGATCAGGGCACAGGACATCCTGACTTCACGGCCAGACAAATGTGGCTCAGAAAGGTGTGGTAACTTCCTCAAGTGGCCACCCAACCAGTCAGCGGAGACACCGGGCCAGACCAGCGTTTTCCTCCACCCGCCTTGCACTGCCCTTCCATCACCGACCACAGGCCCCATGCACAGGTAAGAGCGATGATATCTTTTGGCCGAATGATCTATGACTGAACACCTGGCCCCTTCCCCTCCCAACCTGCTGACACATTCTGGAGCAGTCAATGCACTGAAATGAGTGACTGTTGACAAAAGATATTCACACAGCACCCACCTAGATCCCAGGTACCTAGGAGAAACTCAGTTACCTTTTCCACAGCTCCACCTGGTCGGAAGCCAGACATGGTCTCGTGGACGGAAGCGGCCTGGGCCTTAGATTCTAGATCCTGGGGGTCATTACCTCCAGCGGTCAGGTTTACTGTCTCAGACGTGGTGGGCCTGGCCGACGCCTCCGGCCCCTTACAGTGTGGGCTGACCCTGGCCACTGGCCTGTGCCTGCACCCCAGGCTTTCACTCCTCTGCTGGGGGGCACTGGCGCTGTCCACACTCACCAGACTCTGGGTATCAGCTTTGTATTCCAATTTGGGTGAACTCCTGGACCCCGGCAGTTCCTTCCTCCTCAGGCAGCCAGAGCCACCCTTGAGGGCCTCTGCAGAAGACAGTGGGTTGGCTGCAGGGGGAGGAGTGTCCCCCAAGTCCCCTGGGACACTCTCCAAGCTCAGGGAGCTGCCGAGGAGAGGCACCGAGGAGGCCTTGCTGACCAGTGTTTTCTGGGGATGGTCCTCTCGGTTGTTGACACCCATGACCTTGGGAGAGGTCAAGCCATGCCTAGAGTCGTCCTCTGTCAGAGGCCTGCCGGCACCTGGGAGGCTCCCTGGGAGGGAGATGCAGTCCCCTTCGCCCTCGAACTCCTCCTCATCGCTGGCGTCGTCCGCGTAGCAGCCCACCTTCTTCTGGCGGCGGAGAGGGTTGCGGAGGACCTGCGGGCTCCCGGGCAGACTGGCTTGTCTGGCGACTGTCACCTGCTTGTGGAAGAGCCCAGAGCCCCGCTGGCTTCCTAGACACACAAGGCTGTTGGCCCTGGCTTTTCCTGATTCCTTGGGAGCTGGTGGGGAGAGAAAGTCAGATGAAATAGCTTTCCATCCGGCCTGATCTTAACAACTTAACCCCTGAGCATTTCCACAGTCGCATGGCCCTCTGGTGCCCTCTGGCCACTGGGCGCCAGGCTGTAACGATACGGCTTTCTGAGGTCTGCAGGGACAGAGCGGACAGCTGGGAGCTTTCCTACTGGCCGCCCTTTTGTGTTTTTATTTATTTTTGTACCTGAACCTCTGAATTGTTGAACTTAAACGTGGGCGCTGCCTAGACAGGAATGCATTGCCACCATCAGGATCTCTACTGCATGGCTGGGCCCAACCCAGGTGCTGCTGCTGCTAATCCTCTTCAGGAGGACATCGGGGACCAACAAGTGCCCCAGGCTTGGGCCTTCTTACCACCTGAGGTCCTTCGTCATCAGCACAAAGGCGGCCTGACTGAAGGGCAGGTAAACTCCCAGCCTGTGGGCACAGCTAAGCCTGAGGTTATCATCTACAAATGAGTCCCGCCCAGGAGGGGAAGCAAGGCCTGGGCTGCTAAGCAAACTCTACACATCTTGCTAAATAGAGTGAAAAATGACACATGCTTCCACCTTGAAATGTTCCCATCAGACCAGAGTGAGCTCATCCGCTGCTCCAGACGAGACACAGGGTGATCCTCCTCTGCCTCTCCTAAGACGGGCACTTTCATGTTCACACATCAGAGAGAAACTGCAACAGGTCACCACAGCAGCAAGTCTGAGAAATCACTACCGCTCATGTCAGAGCCTTTTCTCATTTTATACTGAGAAGATAATCACTGAGACTAAATGTCTGTCTCTTATAAGTTCTGAATCTTCCACTGCTTTCTAAAAATAATTAAGTCAGGGTCTCGGGAGGGAAGGGCCTGACATTTGGATGGTATTCCCCTCAAACATAGGTCATTGGGGTGCCAAACCCTGGATGTCATACATTTCAAGACTCCGCTATGTACACAGCACCCAAAGACCACCTTCGCCACTGGGGGTAGAATGCATGCCCAGCCCATTCACTGCAGAATCAAGTGGCCATTTTAAAAAAATAAACTCTGGATTTAGTCAGGCTAGAAAGATGGCTTCTGCTCGGCCGGAGGCCTGGCTTCCCTTTCTCTGCATATCACAGCGCTGTGGTATGCGGTAAGCCATCGTGGCAGGGCCAAGCGCAGTCCCGCTTACTGGAGGCGCTGCAGCCGCTCCCCGCGTGCTCCTCGTCCTCCGAGCCTGCCACCACGAAGTCTGCCAAGGGGCCTGCGACGTCCGGGGCAAAGTACTGGGAGAGGTCGGCCTCAGAGAGCAGGGAGTCCTGTTGAAGACAGTGTTGGACGGTTTGGAAGCGGAATATTCTCAACATTACTTCCTATCTTTCCAAGAACACTTTGTTCTAACCCATGGTCATTCGGAGCAGCTGTGGCGTGAACACCCACTTCCATTTACTTTGGGATGGCTCAATTAAACGTTTAATGAATCAAAAGCCAACGGTTGCTGCCAGACACCATTTTTTAAGGTTCTTTTTTTGTTTGTTTTTGTTTTTTGCCAAATGTTTGGCAATGCTGAGAAAAGCCACAGCAGCCATGTATCAACCCTCCCAGGAAAAACAGTGAGGAAGCGATAGGAAAACAGAATGGAATTCCAAGCCACTGGTGCAGCCTGTTGATGAAGCAGAACCCAGGGGAGCTTGGATCCTGTGCTCAGACCCACTGGGACGCAGGAACAGCCAGCTCCTTAAAGACGCAGGCCCCCCAATTCCAACCAGGGCCCGCCCTCTTCTTATGGAGCATTTAGAAAATTATTTTTCAAATTGCAGTTAGGTTCTTTTATTCTGTTGCTCTATTTCTTTTCCTGAATGAATATTTAACAAAAGAAACACATTCATATTCTTGTTCTCAAATCAGCATTGTTGCTATTTCCTGTGTAAAGTGGCCAAATGACTCATTGGACAGAAATACAGGCTGGGCCCTCACATTTGATTTCTGGGCTCCAGGAATTTGTTGATGGGCTAGCGGAGTGAGGCAGCAGTGCACCCTGACTCACCTTTTTTGCGAGAGAGGGACTCTTCAAGGGGGTACCTGTTGGGGAAAAATTCACCATGTTGTCAACAAAGCTCCAATCTGTACAAATAGGTTCACATCCTTAACTAGGAAAGGAGGAGCCGAACACACTAAACAAAGCCCTCTCTGCTTGACTAGCACTGATGGGCCAGGTGCACAGGTATCGACATGCATGCGGTCTACCTGGGAACCCCATCCCTATCCCGCCCCACCTCCCAAGATTCTGCTCATGCTTTGGACTTAACTCAGGTGCTACCATCTCCATGATGATCCCAGTTGGGAGGCACTTCGTCTGAATCTCAAAAGTATTTTATGCTACTCATTCACCAATTCCCAGGCACACGGTATCATCAAATTATAAGTAGATTCATCTCATCTCCCTTCCTCGGCTCTTTCACTATGTACAGGGCTGAGACCCTCACTGAGCCGACCCTATGGTGCTCAGCATGGCTCCTGGATAGGAAATGTGTGTTGAGTGGATTACAGGATGAATGAACAAAGGGACACCACCCAGGAAACTCCCGCAAGAGCCGGGAAGAGGGTTGAATATCTATTTTAGACTTTAGTTGAAGGATGAAAAGACTCAGCATTGAGACTTTAAATTATATGCCATGAGCCAAGAGATCTTGGGCATGAGGGTCATGGCTTAATAACATCTTTCATAAACGACCGAGGGGCTCCGCTGGGAGCATGAGAGGGACAGCTTTCAGACAGGCCGGGAGAACGGGCTGCCTGAATAAAGGGCCCATTATGGCTGTGCCATAATTTTAAATATATTAATGATGGATGCAGATAATCAGGGCATTTCATGGTTTCCAAGAATTCCTATGCCTCGCCTTTCCTCTGACAACCAGCAACTCATGGCTCAGTGCCCTTTCCTCCCATCAATCCTAAATGAGTAATATCTCAAGTTCAGACATGTTTGCAGTTCCTTTAGGTTCCATTCTATAGGACTCCATGCTTCCTGTTTTAAATTCATATGAAATTCTTACTATCTCGGTCCACCTCTGCCTGAACTGTTCCACGTGGGAAGGGGAAAGCGCGATTTCTGCAGCCTCTATTGCCTTTCTTAAGTTGAAACTTTTAATTCATGTCAAGAAACCCCGGGTTTTTGGATACTATACTCTGTATCTAACAACGGACACACCAAACAGCTGGTATTTTGCTCTCGCTTCATGTTCAGCGAGCACAGGTCAGATGAGTTGCACATAAAGCCATGAAATGCTGCTAACTCATTTTTGCAAATCATCTTAAAGTGCTCTAAGAGGCATGCGTGATTAGAACTCTAATAAAGCAGATGAAACAACCGCAGATATCAGAAGCAGCCGCTAAGGGAAAGCACAGCATCTCTACGACAGCAACTTCTGTCGACGTGATCATCGCAGAGAGAGAACCCCGCCCTACTGCACGGGAGTGCCCCGTGGGCACCTGAGGAGACGCGTCCGAAGGCTGAATGAAAACGTGCGGGTACCGTACCTAAGCCAGGGGAGGCACTGGCCTCTCTGCTGTCCTGGTAAGTGCTGCGTGCTATCACTTCATCCATCTCCTGCTCGGAAACCTGGGTTTCAGCAGAAAGCACAAGTTAGATGGGTTTATTTACTTATTTCCCCCAACAAACAGGAGCTAGAAACAGGCAGAAGCTGAGCAGAGGCAAGAGGAGGGAAAACCAGGGGCCGAGGCTCCTGCTCGTCCCCTGAAGCCATCGCTCAGGGCAGAGGAGACCCAAGCTGGGCTGACTGGCTGCTTGAAACAATATACTCACAAGGCCTTCCGTTGGCTCCCAAGTTCCTTAAGCAAAGCAATCAAGTGCAGGGGCTGGTATCTGCCTCTCTCTGGGACACTCACTTCTAACTCTTTTTTCCTAAACTTTATCGAAATAATGTCAAACTTATATCGTGACCCGTCAACTGTACATATTTTATCACATAGCTCCTAAAAACAAGGACATTCCCTTAAATAACCCTGGTACTATTATGAAATTCAGGGAATTTAATGCTGATATAAATGACTGTCTACTATACCTACATTTCATGTTCCAGTTTAACCAACTGTCCTAGAAGTCCCCTTCAGAAACACCACTCATACTGGAAGTGGTTTCCAGGAAGTTTGATGCTGGCCTGCAATAAGATAAGGGTTTTCCTGAAGAATGCAAATCACCAAGTCTTTCCTCAACTACATCTCGCCAGGGAAAAATGTCACCGAGCTAAATGCTGTGCACAGTGACGTAGCATTTACATTCTGTGCAAGCCCCTTATCTGCTGGACTTCAGTGGGCTGTCACTGACAAACGTTTCTGCATAGTTATACTTCACGGAATTCCTTTTCTTTTCTCTTTTTCTTTTTGGCAATCCGGAATTCAGTGCATGATCTAGGGTCATGTCTCTTTGGTCTCCTTTAAGCCAAAGCAATTCAGAGCCCTTCTTTGTCTTTCATGATACTGATATTTTGGAAGAAATGAGACCAATCCAAACCCTCAAAGGATGTGCCTAAATAGTTTCTTCATGCTTAGATTTAGATTATGCATTTTTGGGCAGAAAAACTATAAAACTCGTTTCCTTCTCAGTGCATCACAGCACCACACAGGGTCAGTGTGTTTCATAATTGGTGGTAACTTTGATTACGTGATTGGGATGGAGTTCAGTAGATTTCTCCACTGGATTTTTATTTTTTTTTTTAATTTTTGGTCATTACTAGATCATCTGTAAGGAGACAGCTTGAAACTATGTCAAATCCTGCTCCCCAGTGTATTTTCACTCAATGGTTTTAGCTTCATTGAGTATTCTTGTCTGAATCAGTTCTTATAGTGATGTTTTCAATATAGTGATTTCATAACTCTTCTTTTCCTTCTGTATTTATTGGTATCACAGTGGGTTCATAGATCCCCCCCCCCCACCATAGCTGTTATCCACCCTGTCATCATTCATGAGAAGACTTTTTAAAAGCCTGATACATGCTAAACTTTGAGATGTTTTAAAAGACAATTACATAAGTAACTTTTTTAAAAAGTAAGGCTTATATTTTAAACTTAGAATGATAACTTTGTATACTAAAATAACATTTAGTCTAAATAATATTTGGCTAAGCATAGCAATCTGTCTTAAGTGTGTAAGTGTTTCTATACAGGATTTAGGATTACACTGAACCACAATCACATCATGGTCTTTATGTAATACTTTATAGTAGGATTTTTGGAAATAAAATATGTACACATACATGCACAGTGGCATATACACTTGCTTACACACACACACCTTCATAAAGCAAAGCGTAATTTTGTATAAATAAGTCAGGGAACATATCAGCTAAAGCAGTGGTTGCAACTTTTTCTTGATATTAGGCCTTCAAGATTTGCAATTGTTTTTCAGAGTGGGGGAAAAAAATGGTTGGGGTTTGAAACGAGTGAAAGATTATCTGGATAATTCGAATCATGCTTGGGAGCCCAGCACCAGTTAAGAACAGATTTCTACTACCAATACTCTCTTCTACTTAACGTCAGCTAGACGCTGCTGCTGAGCGGGTCCAAATCTCAGCGTGTCTAGACCTGGAGGGTTTGAATATCCCAAGTGGGCAGCCACTGCTCCAGCCGTTAGAGAAACAAGAAAAGAAAATCCTTGTGGTATTTCTCTTGGAACAACATGAAAATTAAGGAAGCACATACATTCAGTATCAAACTGTACGAATGGTATGAAATGCTGGGGTAATGAGCAGCACAAAAATACATTAAACATAAAATGGAACCTTGACCAGAAGAAAAATATAGTATGATGTTACAACTGAGCACACCATGTTTACCTAGGCCCTAGGAGGAAAAGTGAAGTGCAGCCAAACAGTTACTGTGGTTTTGCTGGCCATTATCTCCCGCACCGTCAGGAGGACCATTTTATTGCGGCTGGAAACACGACTCAACCTGCGTGTTCAAGGATCACAGACCACAGTCCCCCTGGATCATCACGCTTTGTACTGAAATGCCATCTTTGTTTGCTTGTCTGACTGGGTTAGCAAATCAGGCAGATGCTTTTGGGCTGAGGTGATGTGGGCCGCTGAACAGACCTTGGCCTGCGTTGCAGTGGAATGGACTTGAAGTCGGCCGTGCCCTGAAGCCATCAGACTGCCAAGCACTGAGCACTGAACTTTCTATTGCGTTGCTGAGGGATGTGCCAGCTCAGGCACAGCTTAGTGGACTGCTTCCTGAGGTGAGAGGTGGTGTGGCCATGTGGGTGGTGGAACCCAAGAGAGGGCTCTGGAGCCAGGAGCTGAGGCTGGTCAGGCTGTGATGATGAGGCAAAACGATGTTAGAAGTGACCCAGAGCGTCAAGGGGAGAGCGGGGAAATGGAGTAAACAGGTGCCGAGGGAAAGTGTCAGGACTGCAGAACAGAATGGAGGAAAGGGGAATGACAAGGAAAAATGGGGGAGAGGTAGAAGAACTTGATTTTATACTAATGATTTCCAGGAAGCTTCTATGGAAGACATTTTTGAGAAGGCACGTAGACCAGAGAAAACAATGCGGGGGGGGGAAGGGGGGGTGGCGAGGAGCAGTGGCGCTGACTCTGAATCAGTCTAATGACAGCCTCTGTCCAAGCACCGTGGCTGACACACCTCGCAGGCCCAGGCATGGAGGCAGAGCCGGAAGCACTTACTGGCACTGGGAGAACCAGGGCCACAGCAAACACCAGAGACACTAAGCACCATGCCGTGACGTTAATGCACTAAGGAAATCCCGGGTGTGGCACCTGGGAGGACCCACAGCGTCTCTTGGCACAGACTTCTTACTCTTAAAATGGCATACAGCTCAGCAGCCTGGGACCACTTAGGACATAATCAAATAATCCTGCAAACAATACCAGGGAGGGGCTGGTGGCCACAGGACAGGCAAGGAACGAACTAGTGTGACCAATGAGCATTCTGAGTTGTTGAAAGGACTCAATGTTGTAAAATACAACCTGATGACAATGTTAGAGACAAACTAATTTTAAACAATTTGTACATCGAGTGCTCAACATAACAAAAATTAGCATTCAAGGAGGGTTGAGTTGAACTTGCTGAGGTGTCTTGTGACTAGCTGAAAAAATTAAAAGCAACTGCACACGTTTAGAAGAGATAACCAAATAACAGCAGAGGCCTAGGGGACAGGGGCTACGATAACCTGCAAGTTCAATATGGGTCAATAGAGTGATATCGGTGCTAAAAAATATTAGTGGGCTGTTAAGCCTAATTACAGAAGTATTCTGCTCAGGTCAGGAACGGCCCAGACAAGTCATCTTGTGTAATGCTCTCAGATACTCTGGATGCAGAAACCCAAGATAGGTTAAGTACCTCACCAGAGATCATCACATGGCCAGCTGGGGTTAACCAGACCTGGCACGGCTACCTTCTACCAAATTTTACACTCACCAATAACACTGTCAGAATTGTCTAATAAATCTTCCTGAGAACATGAAGACGAAGAAGTCCAGATTAATGATTCGTTTCCCCCGTGTAGCTGTCACCTGAGCCACTGTGTGGCCTCAGGCCGATTCCCATCCCTAGCCGAACGCACTGCCCCACCCACCAAAGAGCATGTGTCTCACTGTAATGTGTGTGTCACTGCTCCTGGACAAGCAGCCAGGCCGTCTTCCCAAACGCAGAACAGTATGAAGTACTTCACCTTTGGATTAGGGTGCCGGCCGATGACAAGGCGCACGGGTCCTGGGGGGCATTTGCTCAAGATGGCGTGGACTTTGCTTAAAGCAGCGTGGCGGACGTTGACCGAGTTCACTTCCAGGATCTGATCTCCGCGGCTAAGGAGGCAACATAATCAACACTGTGTTAATAGTCAACTTTTTATAAGGTTTTCTTCTGGAAGAGGTTTCTAACAAGGAAACTCTTCTGAATAAAGTAGTTCATCTTTGCATATATGTAAAAGAGCAACACGTTCATATAAACACACTGGGTTTTAAATTGGCAAAAGTCATTATGCTTATCTACCCAAATTTTCAGAAGTAGGAAAAGTAAATAAAACAGATAGTAAGGACAACAATGCAGGCTAACATTTCTTGAGCACGTAGTATATGCCAGGCACTGTACAAAGCCATCCACAGAATGGTGCTTGAAGGGGTATTATTAGTCCCATTATGTAGAGAAGACCACAGGTTCAGAGAGGTCAGCTAGAGGTCACACACTGTTGAACTCAGGTCTATCTACCTCACAATCATCACGTGATAGCCCCTCGACCACCATCCATTTCTTTCTTCCTACCATCTTGAAATGATTATTGTAATATAATTTAAGGAGGAAATATCTGAAGCTCAAAGGTTACCCAAGAATTTGTAAAAACGTTTCAAATTTGAACAAATGAGAAATTGAAGACAAGATGCCCATTTTTGACTTGAAATTATAGGGAGAGAACTCAGGACGAGAGAACAAAGACTCTTTATATGGGGTTTGAAGAATGTTCATTTGGCAGGCTCCAGACATATGGAACCATTCAAGAAAGAAACATCATCTTGGGATGTCATTAAAGGATTTTTTTTTCCTTGGGTTCTAAAAGTATATTTTCTTTAATGTACTTTGGATGATTTGCTAACTTTTTTTTCATATGGAAATTCACTCTAATGATTAACTAAAAACATAATATAATCTATTAACAGGGCCCCAAGATGGCAACCTCAAGGAATGTCATTTTGATAATTCCTCAACTGCTCAAGGACTCAGAAGCTTAGTGGGAAGAAAGGTGATACTGTTTGCACAGAGTGCTTTGTGCAATACATGTATGTTCTTGTGAAGTTTAGATGGGCACAGACCCATCGCAACTATTATATAACAGAATACCTAGGCATGTCTTGTATAAACAGGATACCCATGCTACCACGCAGCTAGCTGGATCAAGAAATCAGACACGCAGTGATTTCAGACAGTAAGCATCTCGACATCACCACTCAGAAAGGAATGAAACAACAGAAAAGGTTCAAGAGATGACGCTGAGTAATAAAGGCATGATTTGAGGACTCTCTTGTACCCAGTGATCCTGAATCATAATGAGCAAGTCCCAGTATCTCCACTGAATTTCCCATAACTGAATATAGAAGTGAAAGGAAATATTTAGAAAATCACAGTTATCTGTACAGAGTTGTGTTTTGTCATTTCTGAAACTGAACTTCTGTGTCCAAATAGAACAACATCCGAAAAGCCAAGATCCAGAGTTCTCTAATTCAACCAAGTTTCACTTATATTAGCTTTTCACCTTTGGAGATGCTATTAATTATAATCCAGGCTATATTTCTGCAACTAATACAAAGATTTAGAATGACATAAAGGAATGTAACAGGGCAGGTATCTGACGTGTATGTACTCAGAATATTTATGAACATGCCAGGTTTACTACGCACCTCAGATTGCTCTCCATCTTGGCCACGGATCCCGGGGCAAGGCTGTGAATGTAGATGCCCGGAGGGCTGTTCTCCAGAGCCAGGCAGCAGGCGCCAATGCCCAATCCAACTCTGGGCTCTGCCAGAGGCATCATTCAAAGAAAACAACAACATCAAAAAACAAGCGTGAGTGATTGGAAACTGCATCAATGGATATTCAGACCAATAGCCATTTATTTCTTGACCAGACTCAGAATGTGAATCCTGCTTTTCTTTGCCCACATTGCCACATTCGCAGAAACACAGCTGAACCGGACTGGGAATTATTCAACGGTCTACTCTTAGTTTGCAAATCTATTTTTTGGAAATAGGCAGAATCGAGGTAATATATTTTATTTTGGATATACAACTTCAGGTTTTCTTTTACCTCGGTTTAGCACCTAATCCCTTGATTATTTAATTGCGCCTCATATTTCTACAGTGGGTGGGGAGGGAAAGAAAACAGATGAAAAGCAGTATGATTTGGGGATCACCCGTGACTTAGTTACTGGTGTTAACTGTATTCTTAACTATGACCTTTTCTTCTTTAAATTTTTATATTAGCCCTGGAATTAAGCTGGTTAGTGGTTTCTTTAAACAGGAGTCTTGGACACACGGCGATTCATCTGGGGAGAGCTCATGGGCCTGTGGGCTCCTGGTAATTTCCCTTCACTTTAGAAAATGACTGACATCTCCACTTTTGATCCCACTGTCCTTTTAGAGAATACCATATGTTTTTGGTAGCAGGTCATCCCAAAGAAATGATTCATAGGAAAAGTACAAAAAGTTCATATTGTTATGTGAGAGCATGTAACAAAGGTGAGCACCAGCTGGCATCACCTTTGTTGAGCGTTACTTCCATGACAATTCTGTCCTTGGGCCCATGGGCCTTCCGACCCAGGGATGAGGAGTTGCTTTCATCAGAGCCCACCGCCGAGGTCCCCCCGCTGGCGCTGAAGCTTGGGGAGCTGGATCTACTCATGTGTGTGGGGGTGGAGCAGGGCGTGAGGCTTGGACTCAGTAACTTTGTGCGTACGGTTAACACAAACAATCCACTCCGGATTTGCTGAGGAAACAAAAAGAAAGTAGGGCTGAAACATTCAGACCATCCCTATGCCAAAGGGTGAAAAACAACACTAAACCCAAACCCAAACCAGAAGGAGATGAAGAAAAACATCAGAAAATAAAGGAGAGCAATAAGGATGTCGTTACCTTAAAGGTATGAATGGCTTCTTGAAACGTCAAGCCCTTTATTGGTATTCCATTTACATCTAGGATTTCATCCCCTAGTGACCAAATAGGAGAATTACATTAACGTCAAGCTTTAATTTAGGGGAATCTGTCAGTATGCGAATAGGATACCACAGGGTCCCTGATTTACAACTCTATAAAGTGAATACTTGTATCCACGTTCCTTAGCTTAGCTCCCAGGAATGTCACAAAATGGGGCAATGAATGCATATTTCTTCACAGTAACTCTGTATTTCCACGTTTAATTAAAACAACTATGGGAAGCATCCAAGTCTTATTCTTCAGCCATTGCCAAGTTTAATATCAGATGTCCTATGTTTAGAGATCAAACTGCAAAAACGGGGTCCCAAGTCTTTCCTCATGGTCTTTGTTTAAAAACTTAAACCCACAGGCAGTGAAGCATGAACGCACACATGTGAGAAGCCACTCCCATCTCTGAGCCCAGAGAATCATCACAGAGCAGGGGAAATCATCTCATTAACAGAGACAAAAAGAAAACAAACAAAACAAAACCTTGTGAGATATTATTTAGGAATGGCAGCCCCACCTCTAGAAATAGTCTAGATGCCCAGCCTTAGTGGTGCTCCGGCTTCTCCATCATTAAGTGGGCACGCTACTATACGCTTCTGTGTCAGAAATTATTGTAGGCTAATGTCAAAATGCATTCACAGTCTCTCCCCTCAGCCCCCCATCCTGGACTCATCTTCAACTCCAAGAAGGTATAGTGAGGTCATTTTCAAGCTGTTATCAGTGTCTGCTGGGAATAGAAAAGAACTCGAACATCCTGTTGACTTACCAGAGTTTGTTCTAGTTTGTACTCTTGTAACATAGTCCGTTTTTTTAAAATAACAGTTCATCAAAAACGCTACACAAAGGGGCCCTGAGAGAAGAAGAGAGGGACCTTGCACAGTAGTGTAGGACGGGAGAGGGACTTCCTTTACCTATGACAGAGTGCAACGCAGCACAAGATCTCTCAGTTCCCCTCCCGGGGATGGCCAGTCCCAGGAGCACACTGTGCACCTGATCAAAGGAACCCTGTCCATGAGTGTAAAAATGTAGCCACTCCCCATGCATTTGTTATGTGCCTTCCCTTTAATGCAACTGCAGAAGTTGTAAAATAAGTGACAGAATCTGTTTAAAAATCGCCTGGCACAGCTGACTGCTCAACGAGGTGAGGTTTTGGGTTTGTTCCCACATGGGAAAAGGATGGAAACATTAAAATGATTGCTCAGCCTTTAAAAATCTTCATACAAGATTTAAAGACGACAGACCATTCAACAGGTTGAAAATCCATTTCAATGACTTGTCTTTATTGTAAATGATACAGATGGAAAAAAGAGTATTAGGAAGATTCGCGTGCTATTAACCTTTCCTAACTATTGATTTCGCCTCCGTTTTGCTGCAGTCCACCACGGCTGCAGGGAGACTGTCAATCAAGTGAACACAGGGCACATCCGCTATGAAAATGCTCTGCTGCTAGAACTTTCCGTTGTTCTGTACACAGACACAGACACCAGCTGGGAGCCAAGGCTTCCTCTAAGAGAGGGAAGTAAGTACTCTGCCATCAAAATATGAAGCCTGCTCACGTCTCATCATTAGCATCCAGGCTTCCAGGGTCACGCTGCCTGAACAAGGAGACTCCAACCCACTTTATCAGTTAATAAAAACAACAACAACTGTATGCTTCATACAGCAGCACCTATACTCTGGGCCAACTGAAATGAGCAGCCACACCGTTTTTTTAAGGTAACTGGAAATATTGTGATTTAATCATCTCATGAAGGAAGTGTGTTCATAAAAAGGAAGAAAAATCAGAATTCACGAACAAGGTCTGAGGATCTAATGTACAGCATGGTGACCACAGTTAACAATACTAAGTTATATTCCTGAAAATTGCTCAGAGAGTAGGTCTTAAATGTTCTCGCCCTGCACACACAGGTGACGTGAGGCAATGGAGGTGTTAACTAACTTTACTGCGGTAATCATTTCACAACATGTCATGTCATACACCTTAAACTTACACAGTTATCTATCAATTACATCTCCGTAAAGCGGTGTGTGTTGGGGAGCACGTGTTTAGCATGTTTATGTGAACGGTAGGTAAAATGGTAGGTGCTGTGGAGAACGTAAAAGATGTGTACGTATCCAGTCCACAAACTCTCAGAAACCTTCCAAACAAGAAACCTGATCAAGGACCAAGGGAATAAGGTAGATATTTAAAGACCCGAATAAAAATAGCAAGCCACTTTTCACATATCTCATTTAATCTTCACAACAACTCTTCAAGGTTGGTACTAATTCCCCATGTTTTTAAGTGAGGAAAGTGAAGCTCAGGTTACAACTGTCCAAGGTCATGATGTGGAAAGTGCTGGATTCAGCCCAGGCTACTCCACTCCCAAGCCCACAGCCCCCACTGCTGTGCATTCACCCCACATCTTGCAAAGGGGCAGATTCCCATGGAAGCAGAGCTCACCCCCACTGAGGACACCAAGAGGCTCTCTCTTACCTTCCTTAAGTCTTCCATCCTCGGCAGCTGATCCATTTGGGAAAATGGTCTTGACAAAAATCCCCATCTGTCCTCGAATGCAGTCCCGACCTCCGGCAATGCTAAAGCCAAGGCCCTGCACCCAAAGCAGACGGAGGTCCAGGTTGACACTGCAGTACTTACCTGAGGGCATCCTCCCCATTTCAGTATTTAACTGCGGTGTCTTCCCCAGCCACGCACATAGTTAAGGCAAAAGGGTGTGACCATCTCACTCAGAGGCCCACAGCAAAGTGCGCCTGGGAAGCCACTCACATACACATAAGGACACATAATCTATTCCCCTTTAAACGTCTGTTAATTTCATACAAAAACAACAGTAATAAAAAGTAACCATTTAGAAAATATATGCTAACTTGGGCCTGAGGGCTACAGCGGGCAGAAGAGCGCTCACCTTGCCCTTCTCTTTGTACAGCCCGATGATGGAGATGACCGACGGCCGGATGAGCCTCCACGGAGACTCCACCTGCGTGGTGCTCAGGGAGCGCGTGGACTTCTTCACGATGTGGTATTCCTACGGTCAGCAGACAGAAGGCCAGAGAGTCCCAGCTACCCTCTGGTCCTCTGGCATCAGATATATTCAGATTCTGAAAACCTCAGCTGTCTTTGGGGTGAGGTAGCCATTCCTCCCTGGTCCAGCGGCTTTAAGAAAGTTTATTATGAAGAACACTGGAGAGCCCTGGCCAGGTGGCTCAGTTGGTTGGAGGATCGTTCCATACACCAAAAGGCTGTGAGTTTGATTCCTGGTAAGGGCATATACCTAGGTTGCGGGTTCGTTACCCAGTCAGGGCACGTATGGGAGGTAACCGAATAATGTTTCTCTCTCACAGAGATCTCTCTCTCCCTTCCTCTCTCTCTAAAAACATATCTTCAGATGAGGATTTAAATAAAACAAACAAACAAACAAACAAAACACTTTAAATAGAAGCAGAGGAATAGATCCTCCTGCAAAATGGCCACACCTTCTTCCTTCACAGAAAGAACGGCTCAGAGGCCGCAGACATCTGTTATTTCTTTCCTTAACTCCACGGATCCTGCTTCTGGCTTTCTGGAATGGAGTCAGGAACCAGAAACCCAGAGGCCTCAGAGCTGTACGATGACCACCCTGGGTTTAGGGTCCCCCCTGGAAGTCACCCCCTCCCCCCAACCCCTACCCCAAGTTCATAATCATGGTTTGGAATCATTCCCCATTTTAAGCTTAATTCTCTCACTCAAAAACTTAGTAAGCCCTTGTTTCTTATAAAACCCAAACCGCAAACCCAGATAACTGTTATTCTGTATAAAACATCCCGCCGAGCAACTGCAGCAGCTTCAGGTCTAATCCCTCACATGTGCCCAATAAAATATTTTCCAGAGCAAACCTCCATCTCAATCCTGTCCACCACTCAGTATATACGTGTGCAAGCAGGGCACACCATGATAACCTAAACAAGAGAGTCTACAAATCTATTGCTAAAACACTTCTGCAGTCTAGGCCCTTGTGATTCTTCTTAGAATAAATTTCTTAAATGACAGATATTCCATTATAAGCAACAAAAAAAAAGATGACTTCATATTTAATATGAGAAAAGAGACATCAGAAATAGTTTGTATCCTTAATGGATGTATTCTACAATCAAAGGTAGAAACGAGATGTCTGCTAACATTTTTGTATTCCCGGCGGCTTAGAACAATTATATTTTGCAGTTTTACAAACTGTCTGCCAGCTATGTTGGCCTCCCAGACTCTGTCTGATTCAATAAATAAATAAATAAAATAAAATAAGATGTTGGCTTGGCAAGGTTACCACCCTTTTACTGAAACCACTGTGGAAAAGGCCCAACACAGCCCAAGCGTTTTCAACCCCTGAGTACACAGCTGCATGTGTGGATTCGTAAGGGAACTCTCTCTGATCACCAATCTCCAGCAGCACCAATTCCATCTCCCCCTGGGGAACCAGTGGGAACCTAGGCCTGTGGTGCCTTCTAGACCTGTGCTGTCCAGTATGGCAGTCACCAGCCACCTGTGGCCGTCGATGTTCAAATGAAGATAATTAAAATAAAAAACATAGCCGTCTTGCCAGCCACTTTTTATGTGCTCAGTAGATACCTGCGGCTACTATTCGGGGCAGTACAGGTACAAAACATTCCCACCATCGCAGACAGTTTTAGTGGAGTGCTCTATTCTAGACAATACTTTTTAGTGGAGGAAGAGACAACAACAAAAGAAAAAGGTGAGAATCCCGAGAGAAAAAGAGAAGGGTAGAAAGTAGAAAGAGAAGACAAGAGAAAGGTCAACTCAAAGAGGTTAAAAAAGTATTTTCCCTCAATCTTTACTTGCCATGTTTCCTTGTTCCTTGAAGCCTGGTTAGAAATAGGTATTTAGAGGCTATAAATATGGTCAGGTTTCCTCAGTAGGCCACTATCTCAGGGCTAGACATCCTTGGCCATGATGGCAACCAACCCTCTCATTTCCACACTAACTGAACCAGCCCGACCACATGGCTCCTTCACTTTCTGGTCTGATGGTGCCAGGACTCAAAGAACCTTCTACGGGTTCCCCAGAGACTGAGTCTGCTTCCAACTTGGTTATGAGATGTCTACCCAGTTTCCCCCGAGTTGAGGATGATGTAATTGAGGAAGAGTTCCCGTTCAGGGCAGGGGTGAGGACGTCCATCCTGTGGGCCATATAAGACCTGCGAAATCATTTGGTCTGGCCCTGTCAAGGCTTTAGGGGTGAGTTAATTATATGTTTGACCATATACAGCAGTCTAACTTTCAAGTTGATAATTCTGTATGGCCCATGAATGATGTAAATATCCCAATGGCCCTTGACAGAAAAAAAGGTTCCCCACCCCTGATCTAGAAGGACCAAATGACAGTAGCTCATCTCATATGCTAAGTTGTTACTGAGTTAAACAGGCTGTTTGGTCTTATTTCAAGTTTAACAAGAACATCAGATGAACCATACCTGGGACAGGCTTTTCTCCAGACTTTTGCTATAATTACAAACAGAGAAAACAAAAGAGAGAGCGGGGAGAAGTAGAAGAAAACAGGCAAGTTACGTCCATCCTGTGGGCCATATAAGACCTGCGAAATCATTTGGTCTGGCCCTGTCAAGGCTTTAGGGGTGAGTTAATTATATGTTTGACCATATACAGCAGTCTAACTTTCAAGTTGATAATTCTGTATGGCCCATGAATGATGTAAATATCCCAATGGCCCTTGACAGAAAAAAAGGTTCCCCACCCCTGACTTATGGGGGCAGGCCCTGGAATATTAAGGCCCTGGAATATTAACCCATCATTGCCCACTTCACTCCTCTCTGCAGCCCCCTCTGACCCTGGCTATTTGAGTCATTAGTGTGTAACAGGCAGGATCCCAGCACAGTGCAGGCACACACACACCACACACATATACTTCCCTCTCTCACATGACCCAACGTCCACCCACCCAGTTGTTAAACTGACTCCTGACATGTACCCTAAACCAGTGATGGTGGTTCCAGACCATGAGGTACCATTGTCTCCAGGCAGCTGAAGACAGCTCTTGGTTCTAAAACACATAGTAGGAAGGGGATCAAAATGTCAAGATCCAACAAGGGATTGTTTTCATCTACTATTTTCAAATAGTAGGCTGACTTCTTTCTAGCCTCCCCAAACAGTCCTCACTCCCTGTATAATAACTCTAGTCCCAAATACTCCCGGCCCACATAGACGAGCAGTTCTTCAGAACACAGATGCTCTTGCTGTCTTTGAAAGGATAAAAGAAAGCCTAGAGACACCAGGGTAGAAGCGTACTCTCCCATCCCTGACTGGTCAACTGTGACTGCGTGAGAAAGCAAGAGGCTCCATGGCACTGACTACCTGCGATCCCGAAGACTCCAGTAGCTGGGGTAGAGAGTGCTTCCGGCCATCTCGGGACACCTCCAACATCCTGGCCCGGGGGTCCCCGTTTCGCACCATTAGCTCATTATATTCTTCAACAGACTCTAGACGGTGTACACCCCCTGGAAAATACAGGGGAAAGAAGACATGGCTTGATATGGTGTGAAAAGAAGCTTAAGAGCAAACATAGGCACCGATTTGTTGCATTTATACCCACACTCATGGTTTTCAGAAGGTCTGCAGTCCAATTCTTTCAAAGCACCAAGCTCACCACATTCTGCCATCAAGCTCTGCGTAAGTTCAGTATGTGTTGAGGCCATTGATGCCAGATTATTAAAAAAAAAGTGACAGTTTTTCAAGGAACCAGTTAAGGGCAATGTATATATTTCATCCAAGTAAGATGTAGCCATGGTTGATAGGGCAATAAACAACAGTGAGAATGCTTGAGTGGATAGTTTTCTAATGATGGAGGAATATCACTTTGTGGTTGTTATAGTTCCATTGTTGGGGCAGATGGGTGTTTTTCATGTATAATAATGACTTTTAAAATAAACTTAAAAGAATTATAACAACTAACAGAAATGTGCACAAATAAGTGTACAGTTCCATGAAATTTCACAAAGTGGATGTACCAATAACCAACACCCAAACCAACAGACAGAATCTTGCCAGAACCCCAAAGCCCATTTTTGTGCAACTAACCACCCCTCGCCCAAGGTAACCATTAAACCTATTTCTAACATCATAGATCACTTTTGCCTATTTTCAACCTTTATATAAAAGATGTACTTTGTGTGTGTGTGTGTGTGTGTGTCTTCATTCTTAGCATTTGTTTGTGAAATTCCACCATGCTGTTGCATGCCCAGAGATCATCCATCCCACTTCTGTGTGCTATTTCATTGTATAAACATACACAATTTATTATTTATTCTTCTGCTGATGGACATTTGGTTCATTTCCAGTTTTTAGGTCTAGAACAAGGATCAGCAAGTTTTTTTTATTTTTTTTGTAAAGGCTAGATAGTCGATGTTTTAGGCTTTATAGGCCACAAATGGTCTCTGTTGCCTATTATTTACAAAACTTTCTAATAACCCACCAAAAATGTAGAAAGCATTTCTAGCTCATGGGCCATACAAATATAGCTGTGGATGGTAGTTTGCTGACCCTGATCTAGAATATGCTATTACTAAAAAATCTTGTAGATGTCGTGTCTGCTGAATGCAGATCTAGGAGTTGCTGGATTACAGGTACACATGTACCTTACCAATGTCGTACCCCCAGTGTGCCTGAGTTCTAGTTTCTCTACATCTGTGTCATACTCAGTGGTGGCAATCTTTTTATTTACTTATCTTTATTTATTTATTTATTTTAGTGGTGGCAGTTTTGTAATTTTAGCCACTCTGGTGGATATAGAATGGCATTTCATTGTGGTTTTAATTTACATTTCACTGATGACTAATGAGATTGAGCTTCTTTTAAAATATTCATTGGCAGTTTCTCTTTTGTAAAGTTGTCAAGTGCCTTATTAAAGTCTTTTGCTCATTCTTTTATTGGATTTCTGTCTTTTGTTGTTGATTTATAGACTTTTAATTTTCTTTGTTAATACATTTTGGATATTTGGATAGATCATGGGATCTATGTATTATTGTAAATATCTTCTCTATGTCTGTGACTTGCCTTTTCACTCTCTTAATGTTATTATTCTTTTTTTTGGATGGGCCAAAGTTCATAATTTTAACACAGTACAACAAATAGATTTTTTTCTTTTTGGTTAGTACTGTTGGGTCCTGTTTAAAAAAATTTTTATACTGATTATATTTAAAGACACCCTTGCCATTTAAAAATAAGATAATTGCCAAAGCCGGTTTGGCTCAGTGGATAGAGCGTCGGCCTGCGGACTGAAAGGTCCCAGGTTCGATTCTGGTCGAGGGCATGTGCCTGGGTTGCGGGCACATTCCCAGTGGGAGATGTGCAGGAGGCAGCTGATCGATGTTTCTAACTCTCTATCTCTCTCCCTTCCTCTCTGTGAAAAATCAATAAAATATATAAAAAAAAAATAAAAAAAAAATAAAAATAAGATAATTTAAGGAACTTAAATCTTAAATCATGTTTAATTACATTGAATACAATAGCCAAAATCATATTACAATGTTCACATTATACTTGATATCTGCGATTTTCAACTTTTTTCCTTTCATGGTACATATAAACTAATTACTAAGACTCTATGGCATAACAACAAAAAATCGATTTTTTGCCGATCTGACAAAAGACTAGGCATAATTTTGATTCATTCACATTGAATGGCTATTGTGTTGGCTGTTGCCATTTTTTGACAATTTAAGGGAAAAGAGGTCAGTTCCCCTAATAGGTACTGAATGTTTTAAACATTCTTGCGGCACACCAGTTGAAAACTGCTTCACTATATGTTGTGTGTGTATGTATTTGTGAATATAACTATACACATAGACAGATTCTTTGAAATATCAAGCTATTCTAGACCATGCGATGTTTTATTTGAAAACCTAAAATTTCAATTTACCTAAAAGTTTTCATGGGATAAAACAAGCTGATCCTGTACTCTTTTACAACTAATGTATTGATGAATTTCTAATAGTGATGAAAAAAACACACACCAGAATAGGACTGACAGTTATTTTAAAATGGACATCACTAAAGGCCCGGCTTTTCAAAAGCTGAATATTAGCTTTGTTATACAGGTTTTCAAACACCTGAAATTCCTTTGCAGTCAAATAGAATTTTCCATTTAAAAAGATCACAAGCCTAAGGCATGAACATGGATAAATCAAAAACACCAAAATTAAAAGGGAACCCTGCTGGCAAAAAAGGAAGGCATGAAGTAATGAAAACTCAGGTTAGAATTTCAGAAAAAAAATGTTCCATGAAATTGCTTCAGTCATTTTTGGAGCCAGACTGGGCAAAAATCGTAGTGTAAATGGCTGGAACCTCTTTACAGAACCTCCTTAATAATTCATGACCAGATTAATCTATCTTGGCATGCTTACTCATCTGAAGCAGATTTATTAGAAGAAAATTCCTTTGGAGCTGACAGGGAGGCACTTGCCATCCACAGAAGAGAAACCACATACGGTAGTGTCTGTAGATAATACACTGATATGTGACGACCACAGTGACTCGCTTTAAGAAACTATGAAATAAATACCCAAGTTTATAGGACAGACAAACGAGGAGCTCATCACATTAAAACCTCTGGATTCAAATGTCTGTAGACAGAACATATTTCACAGCACTGAACACAGACCCAACTCCTTAAGCCTCTTTAACAGGTTTCCAAATTGCTTTTCCAGTCTTATCTCCCACTACCTGGCTGCATGAATTCATTGCTCTAGCCTGCTGACTCTCAAAGGAGAGAATCTGTCCAAAACCGGCATCCTTTCCAAAACTCAGGAGCATATAAATATCACTTGACGCTTTACCTGACTTCGCCGGCACCAGCACCTCCCGCCCCAAGCGTCTCCTTTCCCCTAATCGCTCTGACAAGCTCTGCTGGGCAGTGGCCCTTACTGATGAATTACTGGGTCTTGCAGATAGATGAGGAGGGAAAACAGTTGCCCAGAACGTCTCTGACTAGTTTTCCCCATTGCCCCTAAGCATTTCTCGTGCATTTTTTCATGCGTCTAGACTGTTTTCCTTCGCTTCTGCTCTACCAAACCCTGCCAAGGTCCTGGCCCTCCTGTGTGTCCCGCCTCCGCTGAATGCCTGAGCGCCACAGCCCACAGACTTCCAGGCTTTGCACCTCTACATGCGCCTTGGCCTCAAGTGCTTGAGCACCTTCCTGTCTGAACCCCCCCAGAGCACCTGCCCTCGAGAGGCAAAGAGAACAGTGACGATGACAAGGATGATGTGACATTAACGACAACGGTGACAACAGTGGCAGCCACCACACCTCGGGCTGGCACTGCCATGTGCATTCCCTCAACTCAGCCTTACACAGGGCCTGGTGCTCATACTGATCGGCAGAATAAAGGAAGAAACAGAGAAACAGACATGAAGCCGCCTGTCCCAGGCCACACAGCTAGGAGTGGCAGAGCCGGGCAGTGCTCCTCCCACATTCCTCCATGGCCCTGTCATGGCCCTGAGTGTCTGGGGAGGACACAGGAAGAGAGGGTGGCATCCATTTGTGGCGCAGCCAGGCCTGGATTTACTGCTCAGTTGAGTGCGCTGCTCATTCGGAACAGAATAAAAGAGTTAGGGAGCCATGGCTCTGGAAGGTCCTTGGTGAGACCCCCTCCCCACGTCTCTATCAGTGAATCCTCAGCCTGGGGAACAGGATTCTTTCCAAGATCCTCAGATTCTGTAAAGACAGGTGGGTGAGAAGACCTGTCTGGGAGCAGAGCTTCTGGGTGGCACTGAATGAGTGACCTTTGAGATCTCCTTCACTTCTCTGGTCTCACCCATTAAGTGAGGAGCGTGACTGCCCTGGTTTCAAAGGTCCCTCATAGTTCCCCAGGGCTCAGTGCCCTGCCCTGGGAACGGTTTCTAAGGTGCTGATCAGCTCTGCCAAGACAGCTGACCTATAGATCTCCTCTCTGCCCTGGTGACTTCCCGTCCCAAACACACGCAGGATTTCCCTCAGTGGCGCCTTGTTCTCTCTCCACGTGAGGAACTCCAGCACCATGTCCCTCCTTAGCCTTACCAGCCTCTGGTCATCACACTGTGCTCGTCACAGACCCACATTCGCGCAGATATATCCTGCCTAATTACTCCGAGTTACAAATGCAAAGCAATCCATTTTGTTATTCAAAAAACAACAGGGATGTGTTTCATGGTGCTAGAATAACTCAATAGAAGGCCAGGCAGTGGGGGAGGGGTGCTCTTGGTCAACAGGCATAGATTTGAGTGGTGGGAAGAGGAAATGGACAGTTTTGGATGTTAACATACCTGCTTTGTGCTAGCTGCTTTCGTGTGAATTTATTATTATTATTGTTATTATTTTAAAAAATGGGCTCAACCTTTCAGCATCAGTGCTATCATCAGTGAGGAAGTGAAAGTTCAGGGACATTAAGTAACCAGCCCTAGCTAGTTGGGTAACAAGAGCTGAGGGGCAGACTTGGTTCTGCTGAGCTTCCCGACTCTTCCTCTTCCTGTTCTAACAGCTGTCACGCGCCGAAGGGCAGCCGGTCGACGGCTCCATCAGGCCACACACACAATGCTGAGGGCCCACACCACATTCAGGGCCCATAAAAAATGGTTTAATTTCTTTTAAATTCAGGAGAACATAATAGTAATGAATAGCTAACAAGTCCAGCTTGTAACTTTACACCAACGCAGTCATAAAACATAATTGTTAGTATACTTTTAAGACAGGAAAGAGCCATCAAGGCGAAAGTGCCTGGGATCCACGGAAGTCATGGGGTCCCAGCACTAACTTTCTCCCTGAGGACACAGGCCAGCTGCTTTAAGGATGTGCCCAGGAAAAGTCAAATCTGCTTGTTCCAAAAGTGGCAACTCCACCCCTCTCCCCGCTTAGTTGAAATGCAGATTTCATATTATATAAATAGCTCTTTTCCCCTGGTTCTGCTGGGACAAGGGCTTGGGAGAGAGGTGTGCTTGCTGAAAAATAGCCATCAGGAATATTCCACAGCAAAAGGATCACCTGAAGTCCTATGGAAGTAAATGAACCAAACACACAGGAAATTTAAAGCTAAGCAAAGACAAACAGAGATGTTGACATTCACTTTATTGTGACCCCAAAATATGCACATGGGAAGCCAGGCTGAATGCAGTTTTATGCCTGGGACATGAAGTATCTAAAGGAAAAACAAGCCCTAGCTGGTTTGGCTTAGTGGATAGAGCGTCGGCCTGTGGACTGAAGGGTCCCGAGTTTGATTCCCGTCAGGGGCACATGCCCAAGTTGCGGGCTCGATTCCCAGTAGGAGGCATGCAGGAGGCAGAAAATCAATAATTCTCTCTCACCATTGATGGTTCTATCTCTCTCTCCCTCCACTCTTCCTCTCTGAAATCAATAAAAATTATGTTGTGTGTGTGTGTGTATGAAAACACAATTTTGGCTCTGGCAGGGTAGCTCAGTTGGTTAGTGTCATCCTGAGGTGCCAAGGTTGGGAGTTTGATCCCCAGTCAGGGCACATACATGAATCAACCAAATGCATAAATAAGTGGAACAAAAAAATCAGTGTTTCTCTCTCTCTCTCTCTCTCTCTCTCTCTCTCTCTCTCCCTCTCCCTCTCCCTCCCTCACCCTTCCTCTCTCAAGCCAATAAATTTAAACACAGAAAAAGGTAAAACAATTTTGAGAGCTTTAAAAAATACATTTTTATTGATTTCATAGAGGAAGGGAGAGGAAGAGAGAGACAGAAACATCAATGATGAGAGAGGGAATCATTGATTGGCTACCTCCTGCACGTTGGACAGAGCCTGCAACCCAGGCATGTGCCCCCAACGGAATCAAACCTGGGACCTTTCAGTCCGCAGGTCGAGGCTCTATCCACTGAGCCAAACCGGCTAGGGCCAATGTTGAGATTTTTAAGGAAAAAAAGGGGTCATCCTGCTGATGGTTATATATTCCCATTCCTGAGGCTAGAAGCTCATTTTCAGAAAGATGGTATCAGATAAAGAGCTTCACTTACCCGAAAGACGGCTTTTGAGCTTCATTTTACTGTTGCCCTGCTTGGGACTTTCCAGGTTTCCCTTGGAATCCTCGGAGCCACACGAATCACCTGCCCCAGGGATCTGAAATGCAGAGAGCACAGAGCTGATGTGGGAGGTTGGCGCAATCCCTTCTGAGGCCGTATCTCAGGCTCAAGGAGCAGCAATCTAGGTGTCACGTGAGAAATTAGGATCAAAGCACAGTCTGCTGATAGCCTGGGATCACGCCGGCCAGTTCTTCCTCTGCAGGCACCTCCCGGCACAGCACAGAGCCAGGGAGGGTGCACAGTCTGTAGGCCTCTAGGGCAGGGGTGGGCAAACTTTTTGACTCGAGGGCCACAATGGGTTCTTAAACTGAGCCGGAGGGCCGGAACAAAAGCATGGATGGAGTGTTTGTGTGAACTAATATAAATTCAAAGTAAACATCATTACATAAAAGGGTACAGTCTTTTTTTTTTTTAGTTTTATTCATTTCAAACGGGTCAGATCCGGCCCGCGGGCTGTAGTTTGCCCACGGCTGCTCTAGGGGGTCTTTTCATTTCTTGAGAAAACTTGCGGGACGAGATCACCCATGTCGGTACAAAGCCACAACCAGAGCCCAGGTCTCTTGACTTGTGGGCTAGTGCTGCTTCCTACAGTGCAAGTCGCAACAAATATTAAACCAGAAATTGAAGCTTAATTCTAAGGTTCTTAAAATACAGCAAAATCTTGATTTTGTGGCAGCCAAATAATCACACCCCTCAGGTCAACCGGATGTCCCATGTGCTACACTCCTGAGGACTGATTACGTCCCGGAAGCCAGCACTGCCCGGGCTATGGAGGTGTCCACACAAGGTCAGCCCCCACATCGGTGAGGTGCATGTCTACACTCTGGACCTCAGAGTGACGCAGGAAGGAGGATCCCAAGGGCCAGTGGGTCCTCCTCCTGAGAAAAGACAATCATGCTTAAAAACAAAACAAAAAAAATACACAAACTCTGTTTATTAGAGAGGAGACTTATGCACTGAGAGTTTCTAAAATATTTGGGAGATAAATTTACATGCACAAAACTCATGAGATACATCAAGCAAGGAGCCTTCCCATTTGAAATTTTATTTTTCTTTGAGATCCTGGAGGAAATAAAGTCATATTAATTAAAACAGGTAAGATTCACGTGAAGGAACATGTGTGCATTTTAAAATGACAGCAGACATCCTTTAACACTTAGCAGTCATTGGAACGTCATGCAATTATAATGTAAAAAACCTTTGAATTTTCATGGGTAATAAACATTATACATTGTGTCTAAAATTCTGTATATAAAGATGTATAACTAAGCACTGAGAGTAATTTCCCAGGTAAACGACCTTTTAAGAGGGAATTGTTTATATAGATAATGTATGTAATACACACAATCTGGAAGATTTCCTCTTTGCCCTCAAGTTCAAGTATCTTTCTGGATGAGAAACAGAGATTAAAAAGGTCTGAGAAATGAGGCGATGCAGGCAAACTGAGGGAGGGGCTTTGGGAAAAGAAATTATTCCTAATATATAAAACCAAGATAAATTTGGTGAGTTCCTATTACAATGTCAGGGATTGGCAGGTCTCCAGGTTTAAATTATGAAGTAAAGGCAAGAATAGGATCCTGAAGATGATTTTAGAGATTCTCTAGAGAGATGCCTTTCCCAGCCCCAAACTGTGACATTAATTCATACATTGTGCATGCACGCATGCACACACACACACACACACACACACACACACACACACACGCACGCGCACACACACACACAAACATCTTGGAGACATGCCAGAGACCTGGGGCACAGAAGGAGACATGCAAATAGAAACAACCTGGGAGAAGCCTGGTTTAAACATGTTATGGAAAGAACCTGTCACCAGACTGTAAACAGCAATTACGGGAGAAGGAGTTAAGTTCCTGGTTCTTGCTGGTTCCACCACCTGACCCTGCGATCAGTCTACAGAGAAAGGTGCTTCTTAGATTTGCAAGTCATTACCTCCTCTGGTGCCCAGTAGGTGGGCAGTTGTGACACAGTGGCCAGGGCCCAACCCATCAGAAAGCCTGTTTGAGAAGCTCATGTTGAGGGAGCTTCTCATCCAGTCTATGGTTTCTGGACTTAGGAAGTTCCCTCCATCCATTCTCCCCTCTGGTTTTCCCCCCAGCACAGCCCCTGGTTTTCATACATCAGAAGTTCTGAAGGTAACTCCAGCACTCATAGGCATAACCAGGAAGAAAAGTGGCCTGCCCACGGTTTCTCGGCTCACCAAAGGTGAAGGCTGTGACTTTGTATTCAGGCTACTGATGTTCTTCCCCTCCATCCTAAGATGCTTTTACATTAATAACTTGGGATGATCAATACTGAACCACACTGTATAATTCCACTCAGCTCTATTTTCCCCCACTTAATTTTTGCAGCAAACATGTGTCCCAAAGTAAATAACATCTCCATTTGACAGATGAGGAAATAAAATTGGGACCCTTGTATAGAACTGAGACCCTTTTGTGTATAAGGTAGATCCAGGACCTAGCACAGACTGTGTGTGAATAAAGTCAGTCCAAAATGCATGGTGCACACAGGCACTGTGCCCAATCTGAGTCGGTGTGATGCAAACACAAACGCTGTGAATGCTTCTTGATTTTCAGGGAGGTGGTTTAGAAGTATCACAGCCTTAAAGAACAATCTTTTACTTTCTTTTTTAGTCCTCAAATGCACGAGAGAATGAAATGAGACTTGGTTTCTATGATCTATGTAATACCAGTAAGATTTATTACACCAAAGAAATCTCCTGGTAAAGATTGTATGTCATATTACTATGGAAAGCCTGTAGCTCAAACCAATTAAGAGTGGACCAGAGATCTTGCAAAGCGCTGCAGAAAGCGCTGCAAAAGATACACTGGAGAGCTCCAGGCAGGGGTGAAATCTCATTTCAGACCCCTCTCAAAGTGTGGGCATAGGGCTCTGGATTTCAATGAAAGCATGTCCTTCTGTAACTGAAAACTGGCCTGGCATGATTTAGGTGGCTGGTAACTCAAAAAAACAGGAAGTAGGCTGCTTAGATACATTAGTTCCAGGTTACTGTAGGGAACAGCGACACACGAAGTGCAATTTTGATCACAACATGCCTCTCTTTAGTCTTAGGACTACTGTCTGACAAGGTCCACACTCTAAGAAAGTCCTCCCTTTCTTGTTTTTTTGTTTTTGTTTTGTGAAGCACAGAACAAATCGAACTCTTCTGGAAATGATGCCATTTTAGTTGTTCTAAAAAGAATGTGCAAAAAGTTCTCCTGGAAGGCCTTTGGCTCAGAGAAACAGTTAATACAATCTATTATTCATCAGCGATTTCTAATTCACGTGTCATACAACAAAGCCATTATATTAATGGACTTGGATAGAACTCGCCAATTTCCAATTAGAGCGTCTCTGTTCCCACACCTGTAACCTATGAGATTTTCTCTCAGTGAATAAGAATGTGTAGCTCCTGGTTTTATTGTGAGGTGGTAGGGCAGAGGGGTTAAGAATCCACTTGCCTGGACACAAATCATTTATTAGCAATTCAGGAACATTAATGTCAACATTTGTGAACTTCAGTGTCCTCTCATCTGAAAAATGAAGCTTGATTTAAGAATTAAATGACAAGAAAGAAACAAACAAAAGAATTAAATGACATAGGCTTCTGATTAAAGATAGGCAGATTTCCATCTTGAAACCATACTAAAATGATAGGGAAGAGATTTTTAAAATGAAAGACATAATCCCAAGGACAAAGGGAGCAGACGACAATAGCAACAAAATTCTAGAAGTCAGTAAGCAGACAAATGTGTGGAAATGGATCCAAGCTGAGAAAGCTGAATCCTAAATTGGAATTGAGGAAGACCCCAAAGCAACTCGGTTTGCACACACAACGCATTTGCTGACAGAGGTTCTCTGCAATTGGGAATGAAGGTAAGGCCGGTTGTATAAGAAGCAGCTGAAAGCAAAGCAGTTTTAACTGATTTTGAGGGAGATTCCCAGGGTCGGGATGACCTAGACAAGCCTTGGTGTTCATCAGAGTCACCCAGAGAGTTAATAAAAGCTCAGGCTTATGGACATGGGACTCTGTAACTCACCACTGCCCTAGTCCATGCAGGACTGAGATGGAACCTCCCCAGTCATCCCTGCCCTCCCCTGAGCTTACCCAGAGATGGAAAATGGGGGAATGAGGGTCCCAGCTGCACCAAAGTAGCCCACCAGCCAGAATACGAGGGAGAGTTGTTGTCTATTCAGAATATAGGTATTTAACCAGCAAGTGTGGAAGCCTCTGTCTCACTCTCTGTATGAAGTAGACACATGAAGTGTATGCAGTCTAATGAAATTCACATGTACCACATAAAATAGGAACAAAAGTACTTATTTCTAAACGGTTAAAATTACCTTGTAATTATCTTATAGGCTTACTATGAAGATTAAACAAGAATGGATGTGAGAGTACTAGGAGAGTACCTAATGTGATTAACGGGGGTATAGTGAAGCTTTAGTTAAAAAATACAAAAATAGCCCTGGCTTGGTGGCTTAATTGGTTGAACATCATCCCATTCACCCAAAAGTCACCAGTTTGATTCCTGGTCAGGGGACATGCACAGGTTGCTGGCTCGATCCCCCGTAGGGATTCTGCAGGAGGTAGCCAGTAGATGGTTCTCTCTCACATGGATGTTTCTCTCTCTCTCCAAAATTAATAAAAACAAATTTAAAGCAAACAAACAAAAACAAAACCCCAAACCAAAAACCTTAAGCTTTTTCCCTACCAGATCTTAGGGTGCCTCTGGATTTAGTAATTGCATAGACTATGATTATAGCTTTAGACACCATATACATTTCAACTTCATACCTATAGCAGGTAACAGATTTAATTAACAAATAAAGCAAAAGAAATGGGGAACAAAAAAACCACACACACAAAAAGCCAGCTTCTTGGATTTAAGTTGAAGAAAAAAAACTCCATAAAGTTATTGAAAACCTAACAGGTAAGAAGACAGATTTATTTATTTATTTAAAAAAATAAATATCTTTAATATATTCCAAGAGTCATAAATAACAACTAGACTG